ACTGGTTGAGTTACGAAGAACTGATGAATGAGTGAAAGTTTTCTCCTTATATACTCTCCAAAAATTGTTGCAAGAGTTTTAAATTCAGATCTGTTGTATCTGATGCAACAAACAGAAAAAATTCTGAAAAAAATGAAAATAATGTTCGAATTTTTTCAGAATCATTATTTTTCAGAAAAAATACATTTAACTCGAACTACATTATTTTCATTTTTCTTATACTTTATCTAATTTACAGAAAAAAGAAAAATTACATTTTCTCAAAAAATTTATCTAATTAAAAAATATATAAAAATCGCAGAAAAATTTACTTAACGTTCGAAAAAATGTTTTGAGAAATTCGTCGGCTCCGCAAGTTTCGGTCCGCAAAAGTCGGTCCGCAAGTGTCGGCCTGCCATTTATCGTTATATTAATAGCTGTGGGGTAATTAAAACAATTCAAAATTAATTCATTTATAAATTAGAGTTATTTCAAAATATATGTTATATTATAAATTAATAAAGATGATTTAATTATATTACTAAGAATTATTATGTTAATATCATCCTTAGAAATATCAAATTAATAATAATGATGTAAATACATATAATTTAGGTTAAACTGGAAGATTATATAAATAAACAAAAAATTAACTTTAATAAAGCAGCTGGGCTATAGCTTTTTCTCTCCTTTAGCTAGTGCAAAAGGTTATTCGGCGGCTAGGAGCGAACCAGCATCTTCAGTAGACCGGACTGATGTGTTAGCCATTACACCACGCCGCCTACTGCTCAGCCTTAGGAAATTAATAGCTATATGCTTTACACTTTAAGTTGTAATAATATAGTAAAGGTATAATTGTTCGTTCCAGAAACCAAATCATAGCACAATTCTCGATCATCCATATCGAAAATTCCGAGCTATCTAATTAATTTTTCTAGTTTGAAAATGCTTTTCTCCAAATTATTTAATTTTCTTAAAATTGTTAATTATTATTTGATAATTAAAGAAATTAATAATTAAAGAATTAATAATTAAATTAATAATTAAATTTCTTTAATTTAATAATTAAAGAAATTGATTCAATGTATATAATGCAAAATACAATACAAAATCCTCGTAAATTTATTTATTAAAATAAATAATATTATATGTAGTAAGAGGATATTAAGATTTTGTACTTATTGTTAGTCAATTCCTGAAACTCAACTTATGTCGTTTTTTAGAACTGATCTAGGAAAATATAAAAAATAAATCGAGTCGGCTAGATACCTGATAGCTAAGCCTTATTATCAGGATTAAATACAGTCTATTTTTTATTTTTCATGGTCTTACATAAGTAGGAAAATAAAATAGTGGGAGATAGATCCGAATCATATATATCGAACATATCTTATTTATCATATACATATTTTCAATAAATTTACTTTTAGGATTTTTTGTCATTTCCTAGTTCCGACTAAATTTACTTTTAGGATTTTTTGTCATTTCCTAGTTCCGATTTCCGACATTTTTAGTATTACTGACAGTGGCTTTTCATCAATTCTCATTTATTTTTTATTTTATGTTTTATATTATAGCGAATATTCAAATGTTTGGAAATAAAAAATATATTCCAACAAAATTTGTTCCTTTAAACATTGGAAGTTCAAAATTTTCCAATAAATTTTCGAAAAAAATTAAGGCAATGAACGAGCCTTGGTACGAGAAAAACGATTATTACTACAATTTTACCAAATCTTTAAAAAAAGAAAATTTAAAAGAAAATGTAAATTTGGCTAAAGAAATGGCTGAAAATTATTTAAAAGAAAATAAACAAATTAAAAAAGCTAAGGATAATGGAATTGAAATTAATTATTTGGATAAAATTAAAGAAAATGAAAGAAATAATTTTAAAAATATTTTAATTTTACTTTCATTTATGAATGAAAATGCCCAAAAAGAAAATTTATTTTTGGCTGTGGATGCATTTAAATCTTTAAATTTATTAGAAAAATTAAAATTAAAAAATGAAGGATTTATTAGATTGACAAAATTTTTAATAAATCATGTTGAAGATGAAATAAACAAATTGGAGGTTAAAATATCCGGCTTTTGCCCAATTTAACAGTCTAAGTACATGTACGCCCAAACAAATTTTTTGTCCACCAAATCAAGAGCTTTTTAAGCTTTTTACCCCCGGAGCTTTTTAAGCTCCGGGTATCCTCGGCCATGGCCTTTTCAAAAAACCTCGACCTCGTGCTACTCTGGCTTTAGTCATTTAAATACTGATTTTCAATAATTTCCTGTTTTTAAAATTTCATAAAAACTGTTAATTTTTGGGACGAAATATCAACTTTTTAGGGTTTAACACGAAAAATTTCACACTCCAATTAAAATAACTAAAAAAATTTTCTTAGAAAGAATTATTAAATTCCGAGGATAATCAAAATTCAAATTATTTAGCAAAAAAACGAAAACTAGGTGCACTATATTTTTTAAAATATATTAAACTAAATGAAGAATTAACTAAATTAATTGGAATAAATAAAAAAATAAAACAAAATAATAAAGAATATGTTTTAAAAAAATTAAACAAATTAATTGCAGAATTAATTAAATATAAAAAATTCTTTGCCGAAATTAATAATCCCAAAAATATTAATGACTCGATCATTAACGAAGAAATTATTCATCAGAATAATGAATTTAAAAATAATTTGGAAAAAGAATTGTTGTCTGTAGAAGAAGGTTTTTTTAAAGTTAATTTAAAAGAGTGTCTAATTTTACGTTCCTCCCGTTTTGATCATATCTCGCTTCAAACTTTAAACTATGGTTGTTCACATCCTCCGGTTTTCGATTAATCTAAATTTTAAAAACATGGTTTTTGGTTTTGAGGTTTGACAAATAACGGTTTTATTAATGGGGGAATTTTTAATAAAATCACACATTGTGAGAAATTTTCGGCTTTCAGTTGCTTAAATTTCTGCAATAAATATCAAAATTTTCGGTTTAAAAACCGGTCGTGAACAACTCCACTTAAAACCTTAACAAATTATAACAAAATCTTGGAAATTTTTTGTTATCGAATTTCGTCATTAACTTAGAATTTTGCCCGAGATCATGTCTCGGTCCGGGCTCTTTACACAAATATAAATAATAATTATTAATAAGAGTAAACAAAAAATCTATATAAACTCAACATTTATCCCATTAATTAAATTATAGGTTTGAATTATGCAAAAAAGTTGGTAGTTGAAACAAATAACTTTGAGTTATATAAAAATTTAATTAATGATGAGACCGAAAACGGAAATTAAAATAAAGAAAAAAGTATTCAAAAAAATATTAAAACAAATAAAACTCATAAAATTATTAATTTAAAATATTATATTGTTAATAATTAATAAATATATAAATAATATGTTAATAATTTTTATAAACTAATTATATTAAATAAAATTTAAAAATATTATTAATTGAAATTAATTTATAATTAATTTACTTAACACATCTCGCTCATAAATATCGTTGATATTTTTTGAGAGATGCTTCTTGAATTTTATAAAATTTGGGGTCATCTAAATCCTTTCTTCCTTTTGCAATTAGACGCTCACTCGTAGCATTTGAATCTTTAGCGGCCGCAATTACTCTCCTAACAATAATGACGCCAGATTCATCAAAATTGTTAATTATTAACGTCAATCTTATCTTGGGCTTACGAATGATTTTAAATTATATTTAAAGTCATGTTGATATTTTTTGAGAGATGCGTCTTCTGCTACTGTACTTCTTGTCCCCTCTTTCTTCTACAACTCTTTCTTCTACAACTAATCAAAACAAAGCTATTAAGCTGTGCCATATATAGATTTTTTATATAAACAACCTAATTAATTTTTAGCTTTTTTTTAAAGAGTGCAGAAAATCAGCCGTTCTCGTTTTTCGAAAAACGATTTAACATTTAACTTATATATGCACGACTTAATTACTTTGTTATCGTTTATTTTTTGAAAAACAGAACGAATCTAATAAATGTTTGTATTTTATTAGAAATTTTTTCCTTTTTATTGATTTGCACTTTTATATTTTTAATTTTATTTAATTAATTTAAATATTTTATTTTAAATATATTTGCTAATAGTTGGGATGTCGCCCCCTTTTTCCTTCCTATTTTTTACATTTTATGGCAAATTATATAGCATTCAAAAGAGGAGGTTTCAAAACGTTTTTTTCTTATTTTTTAATTGTTTAGAGACAATCCCGATAGAGACCTACATATACTTTTCAAAATGGTGGTTAGGGGAAAAAGCCAAAATTGGCAAAATGTTATCGACATGCTCCATACGATGCTATTATATAAGTTTTATTAAAAAAATTTTTGGTGATAGCTCGAAACTGTTCTTTTGTTAGTTTATTGTAAAAGTCTTAACTTTTAAAAATTTTTTCTCAATTTTTTCTCAAGTTTAATAACGTTCTAATTAAAGAAAATTTTCAAATTGCCAACAGAATGTAATGGAAAAAGATGAACATAGGCCAAAAATTAGGACAAGCAACACTAACAAAAACACACAGAGGCCATTTTATTCGGTTCTCATTTAAATTGCAACTCTCCCTGCTTACATTTACAGTTGTTTGCTTTCTTTTTTCATAAGCATTGTTTCTTATCTATTTATTGACTATATTTATTATTAAGCAGCTGTTTCATATACTACATAATAATATTATTTTTGATTTTTGTTTGCTTTTACTAAGCTACCCTTCCAATTTTATTTTTGTTGAAAATAAATAATCATATGATATATTTATTATTTTTCTTCTTATGTTTACATTTTAAATTTGGCATTTTCTTTCGACCTAGCGAGTAAAGCAAAAAATCAAACGATCATTAGGTATTGCAATATTTAGGCTGTTGATAACTCTGAACTGGTTATCCCATCAAATCATTGTCTTCCAAGGCCGGAAAATCTTAGAAAATATTGAGCAATACATAACTATTATAGATAATTTTTCTCCGTTTAATTTATAAAATTACTAAACTAAAATACTTATTCTCGTATAATTTAGTAAAAAATGACAGTAGTTCCATCAGATATTAATTTAATAACCAACAAATTATCAACTATTGATAAAGTAAAAGATAACGAGATGAATGAAAATATTGTAAAAGAATCCGGAAATGATAAAGAAAATATCATTGAAGAAAGTGGAGGATATAGCTTGCTTGGGAATGATAATACGTATTATGTCCAACTTTACAACAAATTTTGGCCTTATCGGGCGCTTAAAATTATAAATTGGGTAAATTTATCGTTTTTATATAAATTTTGAGATGGAAACCCTAAAATCTAATTTTAATTTAATTACATATTATCTTTTAAAATAACGCAACAGAATATATGTACATAGATAAGTCTAGGTCAACTATAGTAACAGAGCTTTACGGATTCAGAAACATTTTCCCCGAATCCTTCATTATTTGGAACGAAAATTGAAACTATCGTCCCTATCTATTCTCTAGTGATAAACATTTTTATTCAAGTTTTTATTGTTATTGTTGGCTGTTGGATCAGTTGTAACTGAAAGAAATAGGCTTATATGGTCTGACACTTATTGGGCATCAGGCTACCGTTATAACGATAACATTGATGGTTCATTTGCCTCAGGTCAAGTAATTCTGGCTGTGTTTGGCTTAATTACCTTAATTGTCCATTGTATTGCCAAAAAATTATTTAAAGCTGCAATGTCTTCATTAATGGTAATAAATATGAATTATACTATACACATGGCTTCACAATAAGATACACCCAATACCGATACATCTTAATTAAAGATACATTTTAAATTGACTTGTGGAGCTGCTTATGTGTTAGAGATCGAGTTTTTAAAAGCCTTGGACTGTTCCTGTACTTGGACATGTAGTCCAGGAAACCTCCAGGAAGGTTAAAAAATGCCTTGGTCTGGTCTCTGGGTACAGGAAAAATCACAGCCTTGCTCCATACCAGCTCGATCTTTCTCCTATTTCTGGATATCCTTCATTATCGCATATAATTTTTACAGTAGAAAGGAGTATCTGGTTTTAAATTTCAGGATATGTGCTTCTTTATATTCTCCGTCCCAATACTTATTGTCTCCACTATAATGTTTTCATCGAGATCAATGTCATTATATCATTGGTTACACCCTAAACTTGCAAATTTTAATTACACATTTGAAGCATATGTTGACTTAACTGAAGCTGTATCATATCCGTCTCTTTACCATAAAATATATAGACCAATGGAGAAAGACGAAGAAGTTTTAGAAAGAATTCAACGACATAAGAGGGAAATAATTATAAATGTTTTGATTAATCCGACTTTTGTGGTTCGTTTTTCATACATATTTGGTATGAGTAGAAAAATATGGGGGCGTTGATATTGAATAAATTTAAGGCCTTCCAATGAGGAATGGGGATTTTATTGTGAATTTTATACAATCATGATATCTAATACGCTTCTGGGTCAAAATTTAGGTCTATTTAGTGTCAAAATCCTAAATCCAACAATCTAATCCACTTATTTCGATAGGTATTAACAGCAATTACAATCATTCTCAATATTTTTCTGATTTTTTGTCTCTACAAAAAAATGCGTAATGCAAAACTATGGAATGATGGCGTTAAGGACTACTTGGCATCATTGCCAAAACGTTCTCCAATTGAAACGAAATATGCTCATCTTGGAAAAACAAAAATGTTTCAATGGGTAAAAAGACTAAGATTTATGTTATCTCGGGTCCAAATATCTAACTGTTACAATAGGGTACGGTTACTAGTTGTTGATATTATTTCGGATGTTCAAAAACAACACTAGTACCAAAAGTTATTCGATACTAATAAAATTTTTATGTATCCAATCATCATAAAATTCGGGTAAGATCCCATTTTGATATTTCCAAGGCTTAGATCTTCCTAGATAATTTACTATTAATTATCTTTAGTTTCTGCCATTGTTTTTCTTATTGGCACACGTCTACATGCCATTCTTTAGAAAAAATAGAATCATTGTTAAACAATTTTGGTCACCTACTATTATCTACTTCATCCATTGGCTTTTGTATTATACAACTTTACATCTTCGTTACCCTAAAGGACAAACTGATAAAGCCATAAGATTGTCAACCCTTTTCATTACTGTTTGTTTTCAAAAATTCTTGATAGGGTTGGACAAAACTGTTAAAATTAATAAGTATTGGGTTTGGGGTGCGGTCATCGAGAAGGTTTCAGGTTTCAAGTTTCAGGCGAAACTTGCAATTTTTGGAGAACTAAAGCCAGCTATAGTCAAAAATTTCGAAATTTACGAAGGAAAAATCCTACTAGTTTAGGGAATATTAAACGAATAATCTACCATATTTCCTCTATTAAAATGTCATTCTCTATTTGAATGCCACCCCCTAATAGAATGCCACCTTTGAAGGTGATTGAAAAATAGAATGCCATGGCATTCTAATTGAGGAAATACGGTATTATGTGGGTTACTACAGTCCGCCACATAATTCACAAGTTTAATTTTTGCCAACCCCCGTTCATCATATGTAATGTTTACATTGGTTTTTTCCACGCTGTCCAACCCTAATTTAAATTACACTTCAATTAAAATTCTTTAATTTTAAAAGGATTTGATTTTGTCCTACTTCCTTACCCTTCTATTTGTAGTAAACGTAGCTATGGAAGAAAACCCATTAATGGTATTTTAAAAATTTAGGATTATTTAAATTTTAATTTTTACATTTAGGATTTATTCTTCATGTTAGTAATAATATTTTATGGCCTTTATTCTCTAAAGTTGTCATTTATATATTTACGTAACAAGAAAGGATCTTTTAATTTTAAATTACCTACTTCAATTAAAATTAATTTTCAAATTAATTTGAAATCCGATGAAGAAAAGAATAAAGTTATCGAAGAAAAATTGGAAGAAGGAGACGAAAAGAAGGAAGAAAATGATGAGAAGAAAGAGAAGAATGAGAAATAGATTATTCAGAAAAACTGGAAAATTTATTTAATCCAATTAATCATATTAATATAATCGGACCTCATTATAATGTAATCCTCGGAGCTAAAAAATCTTATAACGATCTGTATCTTTAGTTTGATACTCCATTTGTTTGTCAAAAATTTTTGAAAATCATAGCTTATTCTGAGGTGTATTTTCTTTAATTTCGGTTATGTTTCCATATAGTATAGCAGGTTTATACTATCAATCGGAAAGCTCTCAGGAACAAATCCTGTCAATCATTTGATTTCTTCTCGGACGGGTCGTGCCTTTTTACCTAACTCTGTTGGTTTCTTATAATGAGTCCCAACTCTATTTGATCAGTTTATATTTTTATTAAACTCATCAATTTATATTTTTAATAAAAATATTAATTTGTAATTGGAAGATTCGTGTTAAACCTTAGCAGAACGATTATGCATAGAGTCATTTGGATGATGTAAACTAGGCACAATTACCCACCCAAATATTTTTATTGCATCATTTTTACTTAACACGAAAAACAATTACTTAATTATTTACAATTTTATTGAAAAAATCGCCGACTAGTTTTCTATGAAAGCAAAAAGCCGGCACTCACAGATAGTTGAGTTAATTCCCCATTTTTGCATTGTTATTATTATTATTATTTGATTTTATGAAACATAATTCTAGCTTTATTAAGAGGGGTTAAGCTCAAATATTGTTACCGATCGAAATTTCTAGACGCTTCGCTCACCATTAAATTGTGCTGTACCGATTAAGCTACCAGGGCACTGCTTTAACCTTGCTACCAGGGAATTCATAGATGCTAGTAGCAGTTATAAATGCCAGTCCTCCCTCGTTGAAGGAATAACATGTAGTAGAAGTATTACCGGGTTTGTTTAAGTGAGAATAGCCCTAGCTTTTTTCCCTTTCACTAGTAATGTAAAAACCCCTAGCTTTTTACATTATTTTCATTAGTTGTTTTATAAAGCCTTTTTTTTAATTTCTGAAGATGACACAAATAAATTATCTAATATTATTTTCCATCTTCCTTATAAATATTTTTCAACTTCTGCCGTTCCTGCTGGGGCAGGCATAACTCCCATACCCATGGAAATGCTTAATCCTCGATTAACAGGCGAAAAAATTTTTCATAATAATTATTTTTAATTTTGTAAATTTAAAAACAGAATTTCGTCGAATGGATGCCAATAATGATGATCAGATTTCTTTTTCCGAATTTCTTCTAAGTGATCGTTAGTTAATTTTATCTTAGTCTAAGGTTGTTATGAGTTCCGTTAAATATCTTAGATATTAAACACACATCAAAAACCTTAATATCCTCTTAACCTACAAATATCCTCATAATTCTTGTTGATCACTGGTTGGTGGAATTGGATAAGCAATACCCTCAATATATGATACTACTTATTATAGTTTAGATATTTTTCTCCCCAAGGTGTACCTTAAAGTCGAGCTTATATTATATGCTTGATATCAGTTGTGTCTGAGGACAACTAAAATTTTATCACAATAATCATACGATAACGGTGATGAAGAGGACCAAAAATATTTTCTCGTCATTACATAAGTATAAAATTCTATAAAAAATCTTCATAGGCCCGTGGATGGAGACTCTTTCACGTCGTTATCATCAATTAGATGGAAATTCAGATGGGAGAGTAAGTCGGAAAGAATTTGAAACGTTTTTTAAATCAAGAGACGATGCTGCAGATAAAGAGCGTTCACAGGCTGATAATTTCTTCAAACAATTGGTAAGTAGATCGAAATTAACTAAAATATATTTCCAAAATTTTTCTCAATTGGTCCAACATTTTTTAACGAAAAAATATTTCTTATTTTTTAAACAGACTGTCACTGTTGGACCAATTGTAGAACGCGAGCGGATTGGAAATGAAACAAGAATGCGCTATTTTTCGGCTGGGGCAAGAAAATTTGCTGCTATAGCTCACGTAATAACAATTTCAATTACTTTGTTTTTTGTATTGATTTTTCCTTAATAATAAGATTGTAACTATCTTGTATAAATTTGAAATTCTTTCGATTAAGCCCAAAACATTAAGACAAATTAATCCAAAGGGTAATTTGTCTTAAAAAATTGTCAAAGGGCAATTTGTCTCCCTCCTTTCACTGTTACGGGCATCAAAATATGAATCCTCCAATATCCTACTAGATAATCATTCCTCCAATATCCTTTAGTTCTAGTTTTTAAATTTTGGTTGCCATCAGGATATGTGGAGCTGCCCGAGCATGCCTTATTATGATAATTTTTTCAATCACATAAGTAGCTTAAACGTCTGACTAAAGATTAAAATTTAAGGGAACTGGAATCTTCCCTCCCCCTTCAATTACTTCCCCGACTGGGCCCATTCAATCAACACAATCTGGAGAATCATTATTACCAGCTTCCTCCCTCATTCGCGATCATGAACAACAATTCCGGCTTATTAGTGAAGGTGCAGCTCCCTTCTCTCAATTAATTGCTTCTTCTCATAATTCACCTCTTTATAATTTGCGCGGAGGTGTTTTGCCTCATCAATCCGCTCAAATGTTAACTGATGGGAATGGGAATTTGGAAGGGGTAAATCAGGTAATTTTCATTTAATTTTTCTGATGGAGAATAAATACAAGATTAAGGTTGACTAGGAAGTTACTGGACACGTTATTTATGACAATTTAATTTAAATTTAAGATAATATTATTTAATAAAACTTAAATGATGTAGAAATAAATTGATTATTTGATTACCTTATTAATTATCTGTCATCTAATCCGTATATGACCCAATTATCTTTAACTTGGATAAATTATGCCATGAATAATGTGTCCGGTTACTTCCTGGACACCCTTTCAATATCAATATTAAAACATGAATACGACTTAGTTTTACCGTTAGCTCACTAGCTAATTTAAGCAAATATTCGGAGTAAGTGTAGAGAAGATCACCCGGCAATGAGTTTTTCCATGGATCAAGATATTTCTATATACGAATGAAACAAGTATAGAGTTTGCTCTTATCATATTTATTTAATTAGAAAATAAATCTGCAGTTCAATAATCAAATATAGTAAAAAATTTAAGAAAAGATCAGGGCCCCGAAATATAACTAAGTTAACATTAATGAAAGTTATTCTAGAACAAAATTTTAAAATAATTTTAAATTTATTTTTACACATCAAAAATTTTATTTAATCAATTTAGCAACAACAGCCTCTAGTTGGAACAGTTAATACTCGCCGTAGCCCATCACAAACCCAGTTAATTCTGCCTCTAGATATTAGTGGACAAATGTGAAGAAACAAAATTTAAATTGAAATTAAAATAAAAATTAAATTGAAAATTAAATTTAAAATTAAGGAACTAATAAATAAAAAGTACATTTGCACTTTTCTTTGAGTTATTGACAAATTTTAAAAAATTAAAAAACAAGTCGGACAATCCCCATTAAAAAAAAAATTTTTTTATGCCACACAAGGGCAAGCATGTTGAGAGCATGTGCATGTTACGAAATTTAAGGGAAGTTTAGAGTAAATTTATTACGATAGAAATTATTTGAGAGAATGTCTAATGATGTCCCTAATAATTTAAAAAAATATTTTATTAAAGAAATTATCAAATATTTTATTCAGAATTAAATTATTAATAATAATTTTTATTAATAAATTAAAATTATTCATAAAAATAATTTAATAATTTTTCTATTAATAATTTTATAAAAGAATTTATTATCACTTTATTATCACCCAGACAAACACGGATGTGAAGAAAATTTTTATAAAAGAAATTATTTAGAAAATTTAATATTTTGTAAACTTTGTGTTGCTCGAGACCAAGGGAGTATTAGTAAAATATCCGCCAATACCCATCGACAATTTATTTCTGTGGTTTGACACCTCAAAAAGTCTCTCACTATAACTTTAATGGGAGTGACGGCTTTCTGTTCCAATATCCGAATTGACAACAGACCCCTTTCGAGAACTTTCAGAAATTTTCTGTTTTCAGGCTTTATATTTTCTCCAAAACTCTAATTTTAGGAAGAAATAACCGACATTTTTCTGATGCTCTAGAAAACAAATTTTAACTCCTAGGATCTAGAAGGAGGGAAATGGAGGGTTGACGTTAAAGAGAACTTCCATTGTATAAAAAAACAAATTTCATTAAGACTCTCACATGCCCTTTCTTAAATAAAAAATTTAAAAAAAAATAAAAAAAACATTATTTAGAATGGGAAAGTCGAGAATGTAAAAAAAATTAAAGGGGAAAGAATCGATCAGTCGCCGCCGACTCTCTCCCCATAAATTAATAAAGCACTTTATCACTGATTATTAATTTTTATTTTATTTATTTTTCATATTTATTGAATTAAATAAAAATTTCATAGAAAATCTAGATTAAAGTTGGAGCTATTATTAGGCCTTTGAGTAGAGACTGCGCCTTCTGACTAAGAACCTAAGAACCCATAGCTAAGAACCCAAAGTCCTTTTAGATCCGAATGATCGAGTCGGGCGTAGAATTTTGGATCGTAAAAGACTCTATCTTTCTGGCACGATAAAAATGATTCGAACGTCGGCCTGACTCGAAAACGGCATATCTAACTAAGAAAATACGTACCACTAAGATACAACGTTACTAAGATACACGGAGCAGCGACAAGCTGGTATTCCTCACTAGAGATCGGTATTTTCAAAAATCCTGGATCTGAATTCTGGATCTGGATTTAGGTTAATAATCTGGACAGGATTCTCGATCTGGATCCGGGAAAAATCCAGATCCAAATTATTCCTACTATGTGAGGAATCCAAACATTGGTCCAAGTATACTAACGTTTTTCCATATTTTTAATAGAAATTCATTAAATAAATCTAATTTTCAGAAAATTAGATTTGCTTTAATAATTTATTGTAATTATAATAAAACTAATAATTATGGCAACCCCATTCACAGCTGAAGAACAACTCGTCCGTCGTTCACTATTTGGTTCCCTGTTTAATGTAGCTGCGAATAAACTACATAAATCAACCCCAACAACTCAACATACAGCGCAAACTAGAGTTGTTCAAGAAAATTTTGGTAATTAATAGGGGAATATTTCTTCCTGTAATTAACATTCCTCTTGGAAAGAAATGTTCCTTTCTGAAAAGGAATATTTTATTGAGAATATAAAGGATTACTATTAACAAGAGAAATCAGAAGTGTCACTCGCTAATCTAACATCCAACCTCTCAACTAAATATTCCTTGAAGAGGGAGCTTCTTGGAAAACGGAGGTTCTTGGATTTACAATACGTGGGATAATTTTGAGGAGAATAAATAATAAAATAGAGAATTTTTAGGCATGACATATTTAGTTGCATATATGAGCTGCAAACCTCAAAAATATTCCTGAACTTGGAAGTCTTGATCAGTGCTTGGAAATTGCATACCTCGTACTACCACTATTTTTAAAGTACGATTATGAGTACGAATTTTGGTACGAGCGACCAAGCACTGGTCTTGATATATGTAGAGTCTGCCACTACCACAAATTTTTCTTTCACCTAAAAATACGTTAACTTTCATATATCAGTTTTATCACAACTCTTCCCGTTTTCTAGATCAATGTCAACAGCCCTGTTCCTCTTCTTCATTATATTCTACAATTCCAACACCTAACGACTATCAACATCATTTTCGTGTTTATGTCGATCCAGAAACTTATTTCCAAAACAACCCAACTATTAACAGTCCAGTCTCCTCCCCTTCCATAGGACAAGGCTCTCCAGCAAGTGTATTAGGCCATCAGTTAGATAGACTCGAAATAGATTTTAATGGAGGATTTTTACAAAATGAGCAACAAATCCAAAATACTCCTCATACAAATAATTTAAAACATCAAGAAGAAATTTATAGAGAAATTGTAAGTGAATGTAGAGCTTTTGAACAACAGCAACAGCCTAATGATAGGGGAGAGACTGAGATGAGGCTGATTAATGATGCTTCTTGTGATATTGATGAGGTGAGAGATTAATTTAAAAATTTCTATTGAAGCATCTAAATTGTGAATTAAACTATCCCCTGCAGACTTCTACTATTGGGTGTTAAGGATTCATTACTTGATTATAGATTTCCATATTTATCCACATATTATCCACATATCCACAACATGGCAAACCAAAGATACTAATATTCTTAACATCCTCCTACAGTATATTCTCTCATAATTACTCCGTCTCCAATAGTTACCCTCTCGAGCCAGAAGTTTTATTATTTTTGAAACCAGAAAACTAGATGTAGTTAAAAATTTTGTGGAAGTCCGACGATAAGAAAATCATTCCAAAATTTATTGTAAGAAGTCTATAAGTATCTGAGATTAATTTTTCATTGACATGAGTGTCCAACAATCCCTTATCATTCCTTTAAAAATTTCAACTTCTTTCAAGAGGATTATTTTAAAAATCATTTCAAAATTAAATTTAGTTAAAAAAAGTGCAAAAATTTTATTTCAAAGAATTATTTCAAAGAATTATTTCAAAATTTATTTACCTTAAAACTTTCAATAATCTTCCTATTACATCACTCTTATCTTTTTTTAAAAATTGGACCCTTTTAGCGCTATTTTTAATTTTCCCTTGTCTTTTTCTTTTCTTAACTATTATTTCATCATTTTATTATTGCATCACCAATCAAAAAAATTTATTTTATATATAATTTAATTAAGAGAAACACCCGAAAAACTTTAGTTAAAACTATTTACCCAAAACAGAAATTATTTTTCCAAAACAGAAATTTTTTTATTTAAAAATTTTTTAAGTTCCTCTCGCCTCCTTATAAATAAGGTTCTGAACACCTTTGTGGCTTATTCCTTTATTTATTTCAATATTACACTATTCATTAAATGTTGAGAAAGAGTTTAGCAAAGGTTTAGTTACAGGGCAGGCTTCGATCCTGCAACCACCTGACAGTTATTGCTAGGCGCTTTCGCTCACCATGTACAGGAGCTTTACCAATGAGCTTCCGAGGCA